TCACGGCGTATTCATAAACTGAGATACCGATACCGAATGCCTCTGAAAATAGATGCTTGTGTGTTACAAATAAAAAAGACACATAGCCCGTTATAATGAACAGGAACTCTGAAGGAGTTAAGTTAAGGGCACCGGCACTGCAGTACGTCTTGCGACACGCTCGGGTACAAGTCCGCTCATTTTCTACGGCGTATCGTTAATCTCCGCCGCCCCCTTCATTGTGTCTCTCACGCATGGCCCCTGTTTATTTCCACTAATCAATTATCGGTGCCGTTCGATCACGCGGCCGATTCTTAATCGCTTGCCACGATCTTCGCCGCACCGCTGCTTTGCGGATTTTAGAAAGCGGACGTTCTGAATTCCGCCGCGCGATCGCTCTCAGGTGGTTGGATAATTATGGTCGAACGACGCTAGTGATTCGAGGAAAAATCGTGTGCGGCATGGGGGACTTGCGAGAAGTCGTTAATAAGGCTGGTGCAAGATTTCCCACGTTGTAAGCCATGTGAGCGTCGATCCACGAAAAATCATGATGGAAGCTTACCAACTGACTAGACAAATGGGATAGACTGTAATCTATCCATCAGGAGATAGATCGGTATCTTATTCACATTTTTTTTTTTTTTTTAAAGGATATTGGTTTCCGCTGCGGAAATGAAGAATTGATACACATTGCGACAAGCTCGCAGCTTGAATTCTGAGAATCGATTAAATGAATTATGTATATCGGTAAATATTATATTATCCGGCGGCCATTTTTGATGATTGAGACAAATTGTTTGTTGGACGAAGTGTATAGGAACAATTTATCAATTAGATTTCATTTGATAACGAGCACAACGATGTGATACTGCAATAAGATCTTTAATGATAGATTGCATCAATATATATTCACCGTATTATAATTTTATGTTTAATTGTAATAGAATTAAACATTAGTCCCTTTGGAGAGCTATATTTTACAAGCAAATGATAAAGTGTAATTAGCAGTTATGTCGACATATTCTTGCATACATATAGGTGTAATCGAATAAGTATCATCCGTCAGGGAATCATGATGATATATATATCGTGCAGATCGATACGTATCTCGCAAATTAATCGGAGGCTCTTTGATCATTCGCCTATTCTGCTCTGACGCACACGCGATCATACAATTAATTATTGACCCGTTTTAATCCCGTTAGGTCTAATTAGAGAGGATGGTGTCTCGTCTCAAAGTTGTTAATTGAGTTGGTTAATGCGATAAAGGAGTTCGTAGTGTTCTCATTCTCCTCCCCTTTTGCACCATCCATTGTCTTGCTTCTTCTGCTTCTCTGTTTCACTTTATATCTCTTTTCATTGCGGAATTCTAAAGGTGTGCAGATACCTGCAGACAGTGATTATTTCCACTACTTCAATTATTTCAATTATTCTCATCAACGAGCTTTCCAGCACCCGATAAAGTTATCGAGGTACCCTATATGTATATGACATCCTTTAATATTCGCGAGACCTCAAAATAAATGCGCTTGTTGAAATTTGCCAAGACGAACGCATGTGAAAACAAATTACAAATTGAAGGAAAGTTTATTTATATTTTTCTTTTATTCTAAAAGTTTAACCCGGTAAATCCTTCATTAACATTATCTCTTCGAATTATATGACACACAAATGTGATATAATAATAAAATATTACGACAACGAGATGTTCTGGATTGCTCGCAATTGAACTTTCCTTTATTTTGTATCGTATAATAAGGATCGTTTATTCAATCGCATAATTATTATTAAAAAGTGCTTTATATAACTGCGGGATTATTGGTAAAAATATTTCTCTCCTACGCGCCGTGGAAACTGCCCTTCGAGAAATGAATCTCAATGTATTCGATTGATTAAGTCATGCTTTTGTCGAGATAAAATGCTCAACCAGCATAGATTTTTTTTCTTTTATTACGGAGCGGCTATCGGCATTTAATAAAATATAGTTCTCCAATTATGAAATTGCATTGTACGATTATATTGATTATATTCGCTGAGAAAAAAATTTAACTTTCTGTTCGTCATTTTTTAAAGTTATTCCTCAACAAGAAAAGTCAAATATCATTTATATGTATTTATATATAGAAATAATTAAAATATATATACATGTTATGAATTAAATAAAAGTATGTTGAGAAGAGGGCTATAAACCAAATATACCTGTGTTATGTCATAAATATATTTCAACTATAAGTTATGCCAATCTCGAAATTTATAATAAATCTTCTTAAACACAGTTAAGATTCTTAATTCAACACTTATTAACATATTCTTTCAATTATATCATTTCTACGCAATATATGCGCAACTTGCTTTTCCATCTCAAGAGAACCATTTATTCGTTACATTCCGTTGCATGCAGTCCAATAAATCGAGACGCCGCACCTCGCTGCACCGCGTGCACAGACGTTAAGTCGATACTGGCCAATAATAAATGCCTCTGCACATGGCAGCGTCGAACCCTCCGCTGCCGTGGGTTTTCACGTACCGACGTTAAATTCGGGGCATCGATAATCGAAGTTGGAACGGTTCTTCGCCGAGGTCGCGGCATTGTACGTCTCCGCGTTCGTGGTACGATGTGTATACGTATGTGCAGCATCACGTCGTCGTTTCGGTATAACTGTGTAGGCAGGCGCACGGAAAGCCGCGCCATCCCAGGAGGTTCATTAATTATAATTAATATCGCTGTCGATAATGGCACTAGCACTTCGTATAATATTGCCATGACGTACATACATCGTCGTGAGACGCCTCCGCTTTATGCGGTCTGCTCTCGCGGTCTTTTCGCAAGAACGATCGTGATCGATGCCGTTATATATCGAGATATAACCCTCCCATCTAACCGAGAACACATTACGTGTTTGCACATTATTAAAATATGCGGCATCATATATTTATTTAGAAATTTAAAACAGCTACCTTAGTTATTATACGTAGGTTTGTACAAACAAAAGAAATGAATCAATAAATAAGTAAATTAGAAAAGTTAATAGGAAAAATAAAAAGAAAGATATATGTGCCTTTCTCTCTTTTTCGGGTCACATCTTGATAACTTTGATATCTAATTTTTTCTTAAGTGGGCTAACAAAAAGAATGACTCTGCTGAATCGAAAAATTTAGTTAGATACAACTCTGAAAATATAATCATGTTAAACCATCAAAGTAGTTATGTAGGACGTTCAAGCATAATGAGCAATGCTGCAAAAAGTTTTGATATAATCTAGCTTGAACGTCCTATATAATTATTTTTAGATTTGTATCTAGTTGAAGTTTTAGATACTTTAGCAAAATCGTTCTTTCCGTGCATGCACATAATTATTAAATGATAAATAATTCAGATGTAAACGATACATTATGTTATAAATCTAAACACTACATGTAATACAATAATATATAAACACAAATTTTGTAATAAAGGCAAAACGAGAACTATATATGTGCAACTTTGCTGGTTGAGAATCAATTGTCATCATCTAACGATCCCGAAGATCGTTCAATATTAAGAGTTAATTCGCTGATCTGACAGGTGTAAGAATTGATGCCTTAGGTATACGAGAACATCCCGACGTAGATTGAGTATCGATCATTATACGCGTCGTGGTTATAAATTGTCGTTACGAATCAATTGGCCGTCGAGCGTGACTATTCGTGGATGCAATTAACCATCGGCGAAAAGCGATTTCACTCGGTCAATTCGTTGATGAGAAAGGTGAGAAGGTATCTGGGGCACTCTTGGCAATAAGGACACATTTTACGTCATTTCGTTTTGGAATTCTTCATTCTTGTAATTACCTGTACCAATGTAAAGCTTTTCACTCTCTTTATTTAAAGTTTTACTTGAATAAACCTTCTTCGTGTGTGCATGAGTTTATTTAAATAAAGATAAAAGTAATCATAATTCATTGGCGTGTATTAACGTTACATCTCGTAGTTTAAAATCATTCAAGTCACCCTGCTGTGCGTATTTACAAAAAATTGGCGATTTATGTGCTCTTAAAACGTACAAATCGGTGCAGCAACGCACCAAGATGAAGGGTAGCTCCGACGTGGATTAAACGACGCTGATTATATGCATCTCGCTTGTAAATCGTTACAAATTAATCGGCCGTCAGACTCCCCCCGGTGTGTCCATCGATAGATGGGATTAAGCGCTTTGCAAGAGGGATCGATTTGCTAGGCATCGATCAGAATCCTCGTACACCTCTTAACCTTTAGCCGATGTTGAATCGTTTACTTTGAAAGGAAGAAAAGAAATGAAATGTTACTCTTCTTTTTGCACGATAGATATCTAAGTGTATATGGTTTGCTGAATTTCAGTATACGTGAGAAACGTTCTGTTCTGTACTCGGAGGAGGGCGAAAGAAAGGGTAGTATTCGTTACCGTCAAACCTTTTGACCTCTCGCTGATAGAGGATCGATGTATCTCTCTTGGTTTCCGATCTTCTCTCGTATGAATCTACGATTAGAAAAATTGCGCGCTTCCTGATGGATCGATTACCTTGATCGATCATGCGTTAGTTAGAGCGCATACTTTTTGTAATTGCCACGCTACGTATAAGATAACTGTACTAATGGCTGCCCGGGATAGGCTGATAATTAATAGCTGTGATTAATTTGACACTGGTATCTTATATCAAATCTCGTTGAATCAGCGCTGCGTGGATCAGTGTACGACTGTTCGATTGAATGGATAATGTTGAGCAGTATTGTACGATTGAGTTTGAAATTGTATTTGTTGCACGCTATCTTCAAAGTTTATAATTTTACAATTTTATTTTGTGTTAAAAGTTAAAGTAATTTTCTATAAACAAGTTATAGAGATATTAAACAATTTTAGATATATATAATATTACAGAAAAATTGAATTATAATATTTAAATGTAATAATGTTTTAAAATTACGTCAGGATGCTTTTATTATTTAAGTGTTTTGCATTATTAATTATGAAAATGAATTCGAAGGAAGTGTTAACTTTTGTGCAGGCAAATCCATGTCCTCACCCGATCGTAATTCTGAAGGATGTGGCTTCGTCGGACATGGAATCCTTACTACGTTTTATGTATCACGGGGAAGTGCACGTGGGTCAGGAGCAATTACCTGCTTTCCTGAAGACGGCTCAAATGCTTCAAGTACGGGGTTTGGCGGACGTTAATAGCGGCGCCACGAAAATTCCATCGTCGTCGGCCGGCAACAACGGTAGCGCACCTGTAAGTTGTCCCCGCGGCAGTTTAATATGGAAGTTGGAAAATTAATTATACGAATTATACGGCTGGTTTCGAACTTTTAATTAATTTAGCCTTAATTAAAACGAATTTTAATTAATGTGCTTTTAACACTACGCCGTCGCCGCCATCGTGACAGGCGGAATCCCGGCTAGAATTTCCTACTTCGTCCTTTAGCTTTTAATTTCACGACTTATAATAGACGTTAGACAAATATTACGTGGAAGTTTTAATAATGGAGTATCCGGAGTTTCTCTGATTATACATATATAATGAGATTATCGAATGTTAAATATTAATTGGAACTTAATTATGAAGAATGATTGCTTTGTCTTTTTCATGGATGCTGTACTATCACCCGTATATTATCTTTAATTTGATCAGGCAACTCCACGTAACTGGCAGGATAACGGTAGAGGAGATCTCAATGAGAGTGAGTTGAGTCCACCGGAAAAGCGAGCAAGAAGTTACAGTCCGCCAATAGGAAACCACGTCGAACCAAAATTGGATCTTCAGGAATCCTTATTAGGCCAGGCACTCGAAGGTGGTCCCACGATACACACGACATCCACAAACAATATACAGGTAAGCAAGGATTATGTATATGCCAAGTTAGGCAACAATAATGTGATGCTCTTATTAGTTATAAACGTATTTCCGCGTAAAATTGTAAATTTAAATTTTTATAATAGACTTGTACTTAGTATCTTTGCAATAATTGTAGCTATTTTTTTTACCGGTATTTTATAAATATGAGGATATTTTGTTCATTTTCAGGCACAGTCAACTGGCGAAGATTCGAATTCTATGTCAGAAAATGAAGAGGATGTGTCGAATCACGGCAGCATTCTTAACGCAGTGAAGACCGAGCCAAGTGATATTCTAAATGATTCTATAGAACACCATCGGAACAGCTTCCCTGCAGCGTTGTTAAGTCTTCAAGGTAATTATATACATTTGGCTTTTATATTTGAAATTCTCACAATAAACCTTATAAAACATTTTATATTTAACATATTGTTATATCGTTTGCTCTGTTTGAAATTCATTTAATTATGAATAAACCATGTACTCCGAGAATAAGCAGATTATTGATCTGTTTTAAAAATATGTTTTATATTAATAATTACTTATATGTATATTATAAATATCGGCTACTTCGGTATTTATAAGGCAGAGTTGAATTTACGATGGACCAAAGAAATCCCAGTTTTGTCGAAAGGATGCAAATTAGTTTTTTAATTAATGGCACATTTAATTACTAATTACATTTGTAATTAATTATTAATTCCTCGTCCAGTTACTAATTACTTTCGTAATTAGCAATTAGCCCGACTTAATTACTAATTACGGCTTCAATTAAAATTAATTAATGAATAATTACAATTATTTCTATTTGTGTACATAATTTCATTGTATTCTTTGACTTATGAAAATGTGTTAATATGAATCTATTATGAAATGTAATAAACTAACATATTATTAACATAATTTGATTTCGTTTACTTGTGCTCTAGTCAATTGAGCGATGTAAATCTCATGATTTATATATTTATACTTATCATGAAACAATAGTTGACTTTGTTAACGCATACCATGTGTGCACTACATAATATTATATTAAATATTAAAAAATTAATTTTCTATTTTTAATTCAAAACAATTTACTAAGATAATTGATCTAATTGATTCTCTATTTTTAAATTACAGGCATGAACATGCCAGGACCTTCGGGTATGCATCAGGTAGCCAATCAAGATCCAAATTATGGTAAGTTTATCAAATCTATGATTTGATCTCACCCTTTTAAACATTCTTAATGCCCAGACTAGTATCCTTCCGTCGTTTCCTAAGACTCTGATCTCTCGTTGTTGCGTTGAATGCATGAAACTCTCGTACCTCTCACAACCCTTGCATCCCTTGTCAGCTACCCCTCTTATCACACGGTGAGCAGCAACGTAATTATGGAGTCGCATCTCAACGGCTCTTCTATGATTTTCATTTTATTGTGACGTATCTTACATGGCGGAGACATAAATCTTTTTCATAGTAACTATCATGCAATGACCTTTCTATTCGGAAATAAGCATCATATTTTATCCTCGTCACTGTCTTTGTCTGTGATATGAGGCTTATTTTCGACATCGTATATTATCTTAAAAAATTGTGCAAGAGTGAAATCGATTCGCGTCGTTACTCTGCAATGTCAACAAAATTTTCAGGCTCAAAAATCGAATTGTAAATCTAAACTTATATTATTCGTAATTATTTAAAATAATCTTAATTATGCGTGTACACACATATCAATGTAGTGATCTTATTCGGTCTCAATTTGAATAAGAATTGGAAACAAATCGCGATATGGGAAGATAATGAAGAAGAGACAAACAATATAGGGCGCACAAGAGCGCCAGGAACAATTAAAGGTTGCCATATTAACTCGCACGATACGAAGGATTGAATTCGATTCTAGATTTAGGGAGAGACTCATTGGGGGAGGGTAGAAAAATTATTGAGGGCAAAACCTTGTCTTTAGAACTTGGAAGTACACTTTCAGAAAAAAGAAAGTTGAAAAAAAAATACATAAGAAAGGGCAGTGGGAGGCAAAAAAAGCGATTGAATAGTGTTTAAGGGATCGTACGAGGTTGGCTGAGGACTGACATTGGCTGGTGGTTCCAGGGCGGTGGCAGCCCTCTGGAGGAGACGGTTCAAGTTCGAGTTCCGGTTGGCTCCCGGGTTCATCTTCGAAGAACGAGCACGCCGGATCTGAAACCTACCAAAGCGGCGGAGGTCACAACTCAAAAGGGCAGGATCTCTCGGCCCTGCTTCAGCATCATCACCATCAGCATCACCATGCCACCAGCCAACAGTCGTCGCAGCAACACACCCTCAATGCCCTCAACTCCCTCAATAACCTAAACAGTGAGCAACTTACGATGATGCATCAGAAACTGCAGAACAATCTCCAAAGTCTCCAGAGCACCTCTGTCAAGAGTGAGCAACTGAATCTGATACTACAGTCTTGCGCGAAGGACAAGATCGATATGGCGATACTCCAGCAACAATCTCACAGGCGGTATCATCAGCAAAGGGAGGACGCCAGTCACGCCGGTAAACCCAAGTGTCCCGAATGTGGCAAGATATACTCGAACAATTCTAATTTAAAGCAGCACATTGTTAATGTTCACACTGTGCAGACCGAGTATATCTCATGTCACGTGTGCAGCAAGCAATTCAAGACCAAGCAGTACTTGCAGATTCATCTGCTTTCCATGCACGGCATCAGAAAGAGAAAAACTTACCCTCTGTATCACCAGATACAGACACACGTGCAGGCGCAACAGCAATCTTTACAGCCTGCCTCACAAGTTTCCACAAGCCAACAGTCTCAACAATAATATTCCTCGGCTGACGGATGATCCGAAGACAAGTAGCAATCTGGAAATTGATCGAAGAGGGCTTGCTATTTACATACATGCGAAAGAATCATTCGCTGATGCCTCATAATTTGTGATCCCTTTGTGAAGGCTTTTGACAGACGTTTTTATAGTGATGTATTCATCGTTATTGCGCTATGAAGAAATCAAATGTGAACAACGCGTTGCACAGTGTGCTTGTGTCTTCAGCGAAAGTGAGTTGACGCTGACGACATCATAGATGTAATGTATTTGTTTCCTGTGAGATGCGCTGAAGGAAGGTGCGTAGATTCAACATAAACTTTAATATTCCTTTGTTTGATGATTATTAATATTGAATATTGAAAGATAATTGCATATCTTTCTACAATGACGTGCAATTATACAGTTTAATAAGACTGCATGAAGTAATTTTGTATTTTAGTTTTGAGAAGATTTTATAATTAGTTTATTTTAGTTAATGAATATAAATTACGACGAAGAGTTTTTGCTCCGATTAGCACATTATATGAATATCTTATTATTTTTTTTTTTACGTATCAAGAAATAATACAATTAATTGCAAGTTTTTTATTTATTTTATTTTTTATTCTTTTTTATTTTTTATTTTTTAATTGTAAAGAGAAAAACTTAATACTCGATTTTTTGTTCATATGAAAAAATAATAAATATTAAATTTTTTTCATTTGATCATATAATCAATCTTATTTCTTATACATGTGTTATATGTATGCTTCTCAGTATTTTATAATGTAATATTTTTGTTAAGTATACATTAATATTTTTGTTAAGTATACATTAAGTATACGCTTAACTGAAAGAAAATAAATTTTCATTTACTTGTATTTTACTTGGAAGTATTTATTATAATTAATGTAGTACTTTTCGAATGATTTGATTGCACATTCGGCCTCCCTCTCAGCGCATCAACGGTGGTTAAATTTGACCCTGAGTGTGCGTCGAAAAGGCCGCGCCTAAGCGATCGAAACTCACACTCGTAGATATTCGTTTTTTATTAGACTACGGATAAGGGTGCGGAGGTGTCGATAGGTAAGGCGGAGGCGAAAGAGGGTGCTGGTACGAGAATTGGCCGACCTATTTTCGTCCTATACCGCAGTGCGCAGTTCACCCTTCGCGTTGACGATAAGCAAGCCTCCTCGATTGGTCGGGAAAAGGAAAAACGGGGGAGAGCGTGAGAGAGAGACAAAGCTAGAAAGAGCTTCGCGAGAGCTTCTTTACCGCGGTATACCTAGTGCGATAAATAAGGCGGTATGACCAACCCCATTTTTTGAAAAGCAGGCTCGCGTTGTGAAAGCCACCCTCCTATGGTATATTCATCGCCTGCTTTTATAGAAGAAATGAGCGGAATGAAGAATTATTCAGAAATGGATGTGAAAGCCGGAGATACGGACTTTCACCTTCGAGAGCTATTCTTATTAATTTCTTCTATTGCTTCTTTTTGTGAAAGAAAGCTTTTAATTATTTATACATATATAAAATATCGATGAGGTTTGAATTTTATAAATGTGTATGTACATATATATTTATTTATTTATATAAATATATATGTATACTGATATGTTTATAAACGTTGCTTGTGCTGTTTGTATATAGATAGGATTAAAAGAAAACAATCAATTTTTTAAATACCACATTTCCATTTTTGAAATTTGCATGAATAGAATTTTGTGATGTTATTTTGCATAATTATCGGAAATGGAAGTATTAGCTGTAATCTCACGGCAGCAATCTGTCATAATTGACATGACTGATGTACACAATATTAATCATGAAATTTCCCCCGTTTATCACTTCGTCAATTTATCTTACACAAAAGAATTGAAAATGGACAATCAAGCTATTCGGGAATCACAATTTTGTCCATTTTTCGTTGTCAAGAAACGAAGATCGACAAGCACTTTCGTAAAAAAAATCGGGAATCAATTGGTACAGCATCACTTTGCCTTTCGTGACGTGTATCGGGAACATGAACATATACGTGTGTCACGCACGCCATCGTCCGCAATATTACGAGGGAGAAAGAGATAGGGTACGTCGTATTGATCTCGAGGATTCAACAAACAGCACCTAGTACCTCCCGCTCGTTCCTCTCTAACTCTATCTTGCTCCTCCACCCCGTGCCAATCCCGTCCCTCACCCTCTCATTCCCTCTTTCCTTCGCTGATACCTCTCCCTGTCTCTCATCGTGTTCCATACCATTCGATTCGCCCTCGCGTATATAGGGTTTGATGAGGGCAAGCAACCCTGCTCGGACGATAATCGCAATTCCATTGTCGGGCTTTCGATCGCCGTCTCTCGTCTCGACAATAGTTCGGATAAGGACCCATCTCCTTCCGCACTTTCTCTACGGCGGAAAATGAGATTGGCGAATCGCAATGCAGGATAATATCTAAAAAAAAAAATTAATTGCAACCACTTTCCTTTATTACACTGTGGTTTCGAATACCATGTGCAGTATTATGTAGCTGACAATAATAATGACAGTGGCATTAGGAATGAATGTTTTTAAATTTTCTTTACTTTGCTTGTTAGCAGTCCATTTGCTGTTAAGTGGAATTTTTGGAAAAATGATGCAAAATTTCGGTGAATTCTGTTAAATAATATCATGTGTAGTTTATATAGTTCCGAAATGGTAAGAATGATTTCCTAGGAAAAGCTAGCAAGCTTATAGGATAGATGGGGTGAGGAGGAGGTAATTTAACCATTCGTGAAAAGTAAGCATTTCGTGGGAATATTAATTTAACCAGGGAAACAGTTTCGATCCATCGATCCGGCGGTGCTTGTTAACAACACGAGTGCCTGTCTCGGGTTAGCAGATTGTCGATTTCCGCGCAGACGAGCGAGCAAGTGAGCGAGTGAATGAGCGAGCAAGAGAAAGTTTCTTGGGGCACGCGATATTCGGGCCTATGACCATCGACCACGCGATCTCGCAGTCGCCACGTTTATCCTCGTTGCGAACCCCTGACAAAACAAACCCCGCCGGCTTATCCAATTCCGCGGTGTTTCCACGAATTTCTTCCATCCTGTACCTCGTGCCAACCCCTGACGCTCGCAACCCCCGACGTAAATGGAGGCAGAGCTTCGCATTTGTTCTCAGCAACCCCCTCTCCCGGCAACTGCCACTCGTCTCCTTATCCGCACACGTTCTTCTTACTCGAACTGCCTTTCTCCCCTTACCCGTTTCGTTCTGCTTATTTCGTGCCATCGCATCGCCGTAAAGCCCGTCGCCTACGAATGCGGCCTCGCCTAAAAGCACTCACCGGTACTACACTCGCGGGTGCGGTCGGGGATGGAATTCACTTCCGTTTTAGGACGTGTGGTAACCCAGTAACACGAGGGAGAAAACGATAGGATAGGATCAGCTGCTAGACTGCGCAGCCACCCGCATGACTCGTGGCTATGATTGATGATTGTCGTTTACGAGTACTTCCAGTTTACTTTGAAGATGACACGATCGTTCATAAGCTTTGAGGAAGGTTTCAGCTGAATGGTACTTTAGTAACGGTAGTTTTTTGTTTGCAAGCCTGATTTATCTTTTTTTTTAAATAATAAATCGCCAAATTTAAACTTAAAAGTTGTGCAATGTATTAAATAAAAATAAATTAGTAATTTTATATGAAAATTTTTTTTAATATAAGGATTATAAAAATTCTGATTTGACAAACTATTGATTAAATCGCAGTAGTAAATTTGCTTCAAGCTGTAGATATCACAGGTGTAGACATCACACTTAGCAAAAAATTTTCGCTAAGTTTCTTCTGCATAAGCTAGAATATTTTATTAAAAAAGTATCTATCCTTTTTGATATTTTTTAGTCTGTTGTACTATGATTTGTAAAAATAAATCATATATCATTTATATAGAGCAATATCAAAGCAACCGTTATCAAGTAATTTTATACAAGAATATTAAGTTAAATACTTATTTAAAATAAAATAAAATGAAAAAAAGACGATGAATTTTATTCGCGATTTTTTTTCTTTGATCTTTTGATTCTTTTAATTTTCATCAATTTTATCAAAATATTTTATTTTATTTTAATCAAGTAGACGTAAAGATTAAAATAAAATAAAATATTTTTAGTTTCACTTTTTTAAAGTTCAGTGCATTTATTAAAAATAAAATGAATATAAAACCGCTTGAATATATCATTTTGTTTGGATGCCTATCAATCATAATTTAATCAAAGTCTATGTCATGAAAATTAAATTAATTTCAGAGAATTTATTTTGATTTAAAAGTTTTATGAACACATACATTTTCATCTTAACTTGTGACATCGGAGACAATTACGCGTATCATTCCAGCCACCGAAATTACGTGTCAGTGTGACTTATGTTCTTTTTGCGCCAGTCCTTATCTCGATCTCTCGCGCTAGATTCTAGCAGCCTACTACAAATCCATGTTTTCTACTGCAAGGTTGACTCTCGATCGCACACTCTCGGCAGATTAGAGCCATCTATCACTCGGATCCGATTTCGGATAGTTTCGTTTCGACCGAGCCTGGTCAGATTCTTATCTTCCTGACGAATTTCCTCTAGGAAAACTTGGCTTTACCAACGTTTGACCACCACTGCTCGATATTTCTTCGCAATATTTTTCGACGTGTATGACGTGAAAGAGAGAAATATTGCAAGTAGATTTCAATATGGCAAAAACGAACATGTAATGGTTGCGTGAGCACACACACGTGATTCATCGGCGATCTTGTTTCTGGCGGTACTATGTACGTGTGTACAGGGCATACGAAACATCCACAGCGCGTGGATGAAGGGACATGGGAAAGATTCTTCTTCGTCTTTTTCTTTCTTAATCTTTGCTGACTGCCCGTATTCCCCAGATGTCCGTTCAAGTCTTGATTTTCTCAGAGTATGGTGTATCCGGGAGAAAAAGAAAACTCGATTACTTGAAGTTTAACGTCAAGAAGAAGATGAAAATAGATATCGACGTTATTTTTTTAA